ACCCGCCACAGGATTATTGGACCAGTCAAAATGATACCACATGTAAAATGTGAAGGTCAGGAAGTAAGTCTACAGACAGCTTCACGCTTTTCCTGTTTCTGCTCATTTTTTTCCCCCTCCGTACCTGTTCCTTAAACAAAGGTGATCTGCTTTTAGTAGATTGCTGGTCTGAGAGCACCAGAGTAATATACAAACCAATGATGATGTCAGCTTGTTATTGACTTTCCAAGTCTGAATGACTGAGCAAAGGAGAGGGGGTGGGGTGGAATCTATTGCAGGCAATGCCCAGCCAGGCAAAAATGAGTAGACAAGCCAGTGTGGGGGATGGGTGGGATTCTGCAGAGTCTCACAGCCCCAGACATCATCTCTAACTGTAGCTGTGCTGCATTGCTCTAGTTTACAATGCTCTCACCCCATTTTTCTGATGTAAACTCAATTAGGACGGCAAGGAGGGGCCGCCATCGCCGTCGACAGGGGACCTGATTGCGTTTTCAATGACGGAAGTACGTTCTGACTTCAAGAATATGCACTGTTTGAATTCAGAGGGCGATCTTAAAGAAAGTAGGGGGGTAGAGGGGCGAAATCTGGATTTGAAAAGTGGAGAATTACACAAGGTTTTTTAACAGGAAATACTTTTCAGTGTCTGCCAAAACCGCAGGCCTGTATAAATAACAGGAGGGAAGGGGTGGGGAAGATTTTACATTTGTGCCCATCCCCCACCACACCACACTACACATACACACACACACAGAAATAATGGAGCTCTGTAAAATATTACACACACCAGCCATTATGAGGATCTTATGGCTGATGGGGGTGTAATTCTTACTGTAATATTAATGCGATATATCTCGGAAATAGGACATGTGAGCGTTTGAGTGGATTTTTTTCTTTTTCTTTTTTTATGACGCTGTATTTGTGTTACTGCCATTTTTTGGGGGGGGGGGTTGACTGCGGTGACTATTGCAGTAACAGCATGTGCTAAAACATTGAAAATAACTATTATAGGGGATACATACATTAAGTATTAAATTGTATGGTTGATAGAAATAAAAATCGATTTATCGATAATTTTTATATTGATCATTTGCTCAGGAATTAATTGCGATATCTAAATATTTAGGTCATTTTTTTTGTACGTAATAGTGATTATGAATTAATATTTTATTAACGTAATCTACACATTCTCAACTTCTGAGGTGTGTTCTCGTATATCCGCAGATGCCAAATGTGAATAATAAAATGTAGTGCTTGCCATATATTTTGTTGTTGATGTCATTCAACTATTTTGGCACAGATTTATTTTATTTGATATAAAGCCATCAAAATGAGAAAGATAGCCTGTGTAGCATCTTTGAAAACCATGAACAAAACTACTTAAACTAAGTAAAATACGACCTAAGTAAAGATGGGTTTTCAATGGGAATAAACATTGTTTGTAATGACCACAATGTGTTTTGTGTGGTGAATTATCAGTTGCAGAGAGCATGAAACCAAAATTCAACCTTTAGAAAGTAAATGTTTTACATTTTAAATTTCAGATTTTAATTTTAGATATTGTTAGATCTCATGCAGTTCATAGTATAATAATATTACTTAGACATTTTTGTTTACTTACGTGCAATAAATCAGTTTGGTACTGTGCTGAATCACCATTTGTCCACTGTAAAATCTGGATCCTGAAACAAAACCGGTTTAACACCACTGAATTATGGTTTCATTAGTTTCATTAAAAGCTAATTGCCTTTTAAAACCAACAGAGGTGGTCAGTGTGCTTGAGAACTACTAGAGAATGGCTCTTGTAATCAGTGGCGGCTCGTGGGTTTTAAAATAGAGGAGGCACACTAATTGTATTGGTCTGGGATCCCTGCCGATTATTATTATTATTATTATTTGCTTAAATCACTTTAAAATGGCTTTTTGGTTGCTTTTAGTCAGAAAACGTAAAGAAAACGACATACATACAGCAAGATAATATAATTTCACTTACCTGGCCTATCACTTGAAGCTAACATCCATCCCTTCTTAAAAGTCTGTGTTAAAACCATAGACTGTATAAAAACATGGACGTAGTGTCCGTGACTTAACCCGTAGACTTCCGACGAGCGTTTTGAAGCCTAAAGTGGGTGGAGCCAGCCGTCGCCATCTTGGCTGCGCGTCACTCCCGGATAATCGAAAATGGGCAAAGAGGCGGGAGCTGGCTGCTGAAACCACGCCCACCTAGCTCGACGGTGGTGACAGCAGCGGCAATCCACCTGTCACTCAAGTGGCCACGCCCTTAATTATGCAGAACTTTAAGGCTTAATATAATTTAAACGGATGAGTTATAAAAAAATTCACCCCCCTCACAGTTGTCATGAAGGGCAAAATTAGCTATATAAACCAAAATCTGGAATGCATGTGGTATGGAGAATGATTAGGAAAATGAATGGTATTAATAATTATAAACAGATCCCTGTAATTGAAGAGGAAGGGAAAATAGCCAGAACGAATAAAGAAAAGACAGAAGTCTTAGCCAAAACTTTTGCTAAAGTTCATAGTGTTGAAAACTTGAATGATAAGTTCTTAAAAAGAAGACAAGAGTTAAGTAAAATATATGAGAATGTTCGTATGAAAAAACAAGGAGTTGATAGTAATATGGATGAGGATTTTAATTCTTTTGAGTTAAAAATAGCCATTAACAATTCAAAGAATACAACGCCAGGGAGAGACATGATCAGTTACAGTATGTTAAAAAATTTACCAGAAGTAGCCGTTAAAGCATTAATGGATTTATATAATCATATATGGAATGAAGGCACCTTACCCAAAGATTGGAAAAGTGCAATAGTGATACCAGTAGTGAAACCAGGTAAAGATGCATCAAAATCTAATAGTTATAGGCCAATTGCTCTTACATCTACATTATGCAAGGTCATGGAGAAAATGATAGTAAGAAGGTTGAATTATTTTTTGGAGAAAAAAGAAATATTATCATCAGCTCAGAGTGGTTTCAGGAAGAAGAGATCTACAATGGATGCTCTGATATTATTTGAAAATGATGTTAAAAAAGCTCTAATAATGAAAGAATTTCTTGTTGCTGTTTTCTTTGACATTGAAAAGGCATATGACACTTTATGGAGGGAGGGACTGTTAATTAAGTTAAACAAAATCGGAATAGTGGGGAGAATGTATAATTGGATATTAGATTTTTTGTTTGAGCGTACATTCCAGGTAAGAATAGGGGAAGAAATGTCAGCATCGTATGATATCCTGAATGGGACTCCACAAGGAAGTGTAATCAGTCCAATTTTATTTAATGTAATGATTAATGATATATTTGAAAGAGTTAAACCAAGCATTGGGAAGGCATTATATGCAGATGATGGTGCAGTATGGAGAAGAGGTAGGAATTTAGGAAATGTAGTTAAAGGAATACAAGAATCAATAAATGAAGTTGAAAGGTGGTCAGTAGATTGGGGATTGAAGTTTTCAGTATCAAAGACTCAATATATGGTTTTTACAAAGAAAAAGAAAAAGGAACAAATTACTCTGAAATTATATGAACAATTGTTAGAAAGAGTGACAGAGTTCAAATATCTTGGATTAATCTTTGATGAAAAATTAACTTGGAAGAGACATATTAAGAAAATTGAAAACAAATGCAAAGGAGTAATAAATTGCATGACTTCAATAGCCAAGTATGAATGGGGAGCAAGGAAAAGTGCACTGTTACATGTATATCAAGCCTTAATACGGTCTAGTATAGACTATGGGTGTGCAGTGTATGGTGCTGCGGCAAAATCAGAATTAAAGAAACTGGACAACATACAATCCAGAGCACTTAGAATCTGCTGTGGAGCAATAAGATCAACTCCTCTAGATGCCATCAGGGTCGAAATGGGGGAGATGCCATTAGATTTAAGAAGAGAAAAGCTTTATTGGGTTAATTGGGTTAATCTACAGGGTAGTAATAAGAGTCATCGTACACGCACAATTTTAAATGATTATAAAAAGAATGAAAAGAATGGAGGGAATAGTTTTGGTTGGAAGTATGAACAGTGGATCAAGGATTGTGGTCTGGAGAATGAAGAAATCTGTCCCAACATGCCATTAAATGGGGTATCGGTATGGAATATTCCTGAACCCATTGTTGAAATGAGATTGTTGGAGGCCCGGGAAAAAGCAGAAGGAAGATATACTAATAGTTATGAAATCAATGTTTTTATGAGAGAAAATTTTTTGTTTTTATTGTTTTTATGAGAGAAAATTTTTATTCTTTTATACAGATCTATACAGATGGATCTAAAGAACAAAAAGTGGAAAAAGTGGGCATAGGAGTGTACATTCCAAGATTTAAGACGAAAATAAGTTTAAGGTTAAGTGACAAATTGTCCGTATATTCTACAGAATTAACTGCTATAATAATAGGATTGCAGTGGGTAGAACAGATTAAGCCAAATAGGACTCCGACTGTAATTTGCTCAGATTCTTCATCAGCTCTTAAAAGTATATTGTCGACAAAAACTGATAGAGAAGATCTGCTAGTAGAAATTTATACATTACTGTACAGACTGAAAATAGAGGGTATAATCTTATACTTTTGTTGGGTACCGGCACATATTGGGATAGTAGGGAATGAAACAGCGGATAAATTAGCAAAAGAAGCTTTAAAGAAAAACTTGGTGGATGTTAAGGTACCTCTGGGAAGGAATGAGATAAAACCAGTAATTAATAGGGCAATAATAAGAATATGGCAACAAAGATGGGAAAATAGCATCACAGGTAGGTGGTATTATAATATTGTAAATTCAGTAGGGAAAAAAGAACAGTTTTATGGAAGACACAGAAAGGAAGAAGTAATGATTTCTAGATTAAGGATGGGTCACACAGGACTAAATTCAACACTTGCATTAATGGGGAAGCATGAAAATGGTATGTGTGATGAATGTGGTGTTTTTGAAACAGTAGAGCATGTGCTCTTTAAAAAAAATATGGTTGCTTGTTAGGGAAATCTGACAAGCAACTTCGTTTCTTTATTTATGTTCGCCGTGTTCTCTAATGCATTGGTTGACACTCTGTCTGCTCACAGTTAATAGCCAACCAGTGCAATAATATAAGTGCTGCAGCTTAATTTGCCAAATGTTCCACCCCCTCCTCCCCCTCATTGGAGAAAATCACGTTCAAAAAGAACGTGACGCTGTAATCCATGCGATGATAGAAGTAGACATAGAGGAGTGGGATGACTTACTTTTAGCCTTATTTTTACAGTGTTTTTGTAATGTATTAATTATCATGGGCTGTAATAAAAAACAAGTAGTCCTATACTAATACTAAAACTATATAGCCTATACATTTGGTTCGAATAGCCTATATTTTAGTAGGCTGTAAATATGTGGCTATGTTACAGTTCCCCTTTGAAGATCTTGTGTTTTTCTCCTTTTCCATCTCTCCAATCCTATTCTGCTCACAGCTGATTGGAGATTAGTTTTTTGTTCTCACTTTGTTGCAGTTTGCTAATTTTTGTCAAACAACATCTGTTTTTGCTTTTCAGATAAAAAAGTGGTTTGGTTAATATGTTGCAGGTTCATTTATTGGTAATAAATAATTGATCTTAAATAATATTGATGATAATAAATCTTTAAAAAAAAAAATTGGGCTTGTTTTTTAAGCTGCTGTTGCTTATTTATCTTGCGAGAGTTGGCAACAGTGC